TTATTAATCCACTCATGTATTGATGGACACTTGGGTTGTTTCCACATCTTTGCAATTGTGAATTGTGCTGCTATAAACATTCGGGTGCAGGTGTCTTTTTCATAGAGGAACCCAGCATTTTCTGATGCCAAACCCGTGCTCCGTCCACCTTTGCCACGCCACTCTCTCCCCCAAGGAGCCGAGCCGCTACAACCTTGCAAGGGGCTTTCTCCAGTGGAGAGACGGTGTCCCTACATGTCCCTGAAAAGGTGGCCAGAATGAGTGGAGTATTCCACTAAAAGGGGAGGAGGAAGAATAGCGTGTCCTGGCCACCAGGCACAAGGCATGGCGTTAGCTCCTTGCTTTTTATCGATCTGGCCAGCTCACGGACTGCGAGGTGGGTATTTTGATTCCCATTATGTAATCAGCAAACTGAGGTCCAGAAGAGGTTCGATCGCTGTCATTTAACAGATCTTCACTGGGGCAACGCTCGTCGGCAGGTGTTTGGGATACGGGACCGTGCGGTCTCATAGAGGAGTGAAACATGTAAACAGACAGGCCCATGCTTGCTGGGACGGAAGGAGTGTGACCAGGACAGGGCAGCGGTGCAGCGGGGGGAGGGGTCCTGCTGACGGAAAGCCCTGTCAGGAAAGCTTTTGGCCTGAGGATGCGTAGAAGTGTGGCTGGTAGTGGGTGCGTGGGGAAGGGAGGCAGCGGGGGGCGGAGGGGCTACTTAAGAGGAGGTGAAAAATGGGGCGTCTGAACCAGGGAGAGAGCGGGAGGGAGAGGGAGATGGCTTGAAACCTTCGTGCGGAGGAGAGCTGTGACGTCAGCACGCTGCTCAGGTCCATTCCGATAACTAAGGGAATGATCGATGATTAAAACAGCCATGTTTTCTCATCCATAAAACAGAGTTTCGATTAAATGTTTCTGCGCATTCCTTTTTAGCTCCAGAGGTCTGTGTTTCTCAACATCCAAGATTCTGGGGGGTGAAATGAGACTTCCAGGCACCCGTGCTGGGTACTGTGCTCAAGACGGCACCTGGGAAGCAGCCCGGGTCTAAACCTGAGTCAGCCCGGCAGCCCCCTAACCAAACCGCCCTCCAGCCCTGCGGCTGCTCTCAACCCCGTCGCCACCTGCAGACGCGCAGGGGCCTCGGGGATCTCCCTCAGGTGCCCTTCCTCAGTGGCTACTTTACCGACACCTGGCTGCCTCGGTTCATTTATTTGACAAACATTCGTTGAGCATCAGTCACGTGCCAAGCACTGCACTAGGTGCTGGGAGGTCACTCATGGGTAAGACCCGTTTCTGCCGGAGCTCGGAGGATGGATAAGAAAACGGGCGGTTGCAGCTCGCTGGGAGGACTGTCGCTGCAGAAGAACCTTCGCAGAAGCATCACGTTGCTAGCTGGGGATTTGTTCGATTTTATGTTTTGCTTGATTGTGGCACTTAAAAATTGTTTTTAAAATTGATTCTTTGAATTTCGAGACAATCGTAGATTCATATGCAATTGCAAGAACTAATGCAGAGAGATCCTGTACACCCTCAGTTTCCACCGATAACATCTTGCAAAACTACGGTGCAATATCATGACCAGGACAGTGACATTGATCTGGTCAAGACAAGGAACATGCCCATCATCACGGGGACCCCTCCTGTTGCCCTTCAATGGCCACACTCAACCCCTCCGGGACCCCAGCGTGGTTGTGGCTGTTAGTTTATTTCTGTGTCCATTGGCACTCTTGGGCCGCGGTCTTCTCCGGCATCCAGCCTGAGATATTTTGGAGACATGCAGGAACCAGGGGAGCCACTGCTGTGTCAGTCCTAAGTATCGGGGTCTCTGGCCAGCGCACCTTCTGCTCTGCACCCGTCAGCCATTTTGTTTCATTTCACCGTGTAACGTCCGATGCTTTAGCTGTACTTAGGAGAAGGGACCGGGAGAAATGTGTCTGTTCCATCTTGTCCAGAACCACAAGTTTCAGTTCTCTATTTGTTTTTCTTTTTTTTTGTAGTGTCTTAAACTGTCCAGTATGTGGAGAAAACAAAAGGGTCACGTGACATGAGGATTCATCACGAGGGACCACTAGACCCGAGGCCGCTGCAGTCACTGCTTCCTGCCCCTGAGCACCTTCCCCTTTCTCCTCTCCCTCCCGCCTCTAACCCTATCCCTGCAAGCCCCTCCCGAGGGGAAAATTACCAATTTCCTTGCATTGAACCATCATAGATAATTCTAGATAAATACCCTCCCCTTCCATGGGGCAGCCTCTCTGTCCCTGCTTAGAATATGTATCATCCACTTTTGCAGTTTTACGCCAACGACCAGACCACTGCAGGGCCAGTGGGCAGGCACCTGGCATTCAGCTGGGACGAGGTGGGGTCGGCAGGGCAGCCACTCCCCAGAGGACGACAGCATCTGTGAGCTTTAGACACCGATCTCGGCATTTGTCCTTAGAGCCAGAGGGAACAAATTTATGATTTTTTTTTTTCTATTTTTGTAGCCGTCAATAAAAATTTCTTTCTGTTTAAGTTTTTGTGTTTATTTTATTAAAGATAAGCTAAGAGACCAGACTTTGGTTCATCGAAACTCACGTGCATCATCCAATATATTATGGTTGTTGTTTACCCGACTACCTGCCCGGGAGACGGCAGGCACCCTCAGGTGAGGACCTCGTCTCATTCACGGGTCCCCAGGGCCAAGTATGCTCAAGAAAGGTCGCTAATTAATGACCTACAACGGCTCCTTGTATCCATCTCAAATCCTCCTTAGATTTTTGTTTTTTAGGAATTCCCCGAAGCCCTATGTGCCTAGTGTGCCTGAAGCAGACGAGACATTTTTGAGATTACACATATTCCAGACCCCAAATTGTCCCTTCTCGGCAGGGAGAGGATCCCCGTGCATTGGCACCCGAGGGGCGGGGGCCCGCCAGGTGAGGGAGGGTCCCCTGGTTACCTGGCAGGCGTCATAGCTCTCGTTCTTGTACCCGGCGCACAGCATGTTTTTGGTAAGTTTGGGAAAATCCTTTGAACACTTCTCCCAGTCCGTGATGGTCATCGGCACTTTCATCAGATCTGTTTTCATGGAGTTTTTGTCAGCTGGCCCGGAAAGAGAGCACGTTAGAAAAGCCACCAGGCAGCACAGCCAAGCCCTGATGATGCAACAGACTGTGCCCTCCATTGCCCAGCCCGGCCCGTGTCCCCAGCCCCCGCCCCCACCTCCACGCTCCTCCTTCAGGTAGCCGCACACCTGCGGATCGCCCAGACCCCCACCCCGAGATTTCACAAACAACTCTCCACCTCCTGGAATGATTCCCCGCATTCAAAACCACATTTCTACTCCTAAGACGCCCAGCTTGACGCCAGCCAGCCTGACGAACTTGACTTCTCCTTGGAACTGGCTAAAGGCCACTCCCTGGCATCTTCCGGCTTCCTCCATGCATCTGCCTGTCGCTACTTGTTATTATGTGAGCACCGCACGTCCCTCGCACAGGGCGGAGGGAAGTGGGTTTGTATTCCAGTGAGAACTTTCGTCCTCTAGCAAAGGGGGAGGCCCAGAGCCTTCAGAGGGGATGGGGGGACTCTGCAGAGGTGGAGACCTCATTAACTAACCACAGATGTTCCACATTTCTTCCCCTTACTGAGGATTTTTAACCGCCTCCTCCGCTCCTGCCTTCCCAGCAGTGCCTGGAGCCCGAGCCAGCGTCCCTCCACTCCCCCTGGTCGCTGAGCTCCCAAAACGCCTAGGTGTTTGGCTTGCTGCAAAGCGCCCTACATATCTGCAATCCCGTCCAGGCCCGAGCGGGGCTGTGCTGCCTCCGTCTGCTCCCTGGGCTATTTGCTTTAGGTTTTGTTGGGTTTTCTTTGGGGACAGTCCAGTGGGGCTTTCGAGATACCTTTCTGCCCGGGTGCACGTTCTCTTATCAGGGTCAAGTAACAGCATGACAACAAGTGACAACAGATTCGTGTCTCAGAACAGTTAGGCGACACGCCAGGACTGTCACAGCCTCACCCAGGGCTGGCAGCTCAGACACCTGGCAGGAAGCATCCACATGTGAATGTTTGGAATAAAGAGTAGAGGGGCCCTGGATAACCGGAGAGTTTGCATGCGATTAAACACGCACACAAGACGGCCCGCGCTGGCTGGGTGAGACCACAACCGAGGACTGGCCTCCACTGTGGGGGGATTGGCTCCCACGCGGGGCCTGGTCTCCTCCCCTCTGCTCAGCTCTCTCCTGTCGCCCTCACACCCTCCCCTTCGGGTTCCACGGCTCTCGTACCAGCGTCAGTCTGGCCCCATCCTGCCACCCAGCACTCGTGCCACGTGGAGGGGCTGGGCTCCGCGGGCAGGCAGATGGGCACCTTCAGGTCGCTGAACGTGATCGGTGTGGCCAGCAGGAGCAAGGCGATGTCGTTGTCCAAGTTGACTTTCTTAAAGTCCTTGTGGAGAACCATGGTGGTCACCCGCTTTACTTCCACGCGCGACCTGGTTAAGTCGTTGGTCCCCACCACGACACTCAGGTCTGTAGGTCTGGCGGCACGGAGCCGGAGAGGGGTGAGAGGAGGGGAAGGGAGGTCACCAAAGTGTGCAGAAGTTTCCGTGCCCGAGAAACTGAAACCCCACGCAGTTTGAGGACCTTCGGGCCATCCTGGGGCTACTGCTCAGAGGGTGCGAGAATTTGAAAAAGGGAGAGAAAGTGCCAGAATGGCCTGTGAGCAGAACACGGCTACGTAGGCCTCTGCTCCATCGCGGGTCCCAGAGAAGTGAACGCTGGGGCCGGGCGCGGAGGCGCACGCCTGTCATCCCGGCACTTTGGGAGGCTGAGGCAGGAGGATCACTTGAGGCCAGAAATTTGAGACCAGAGAAGTGAATGATGCTCCTGACACCTCGTTGGGGGCACTCAGAACAGCCCACGAAAGACTGCCAGGCACAGATCAAACTCGCCTTCAGACAGGTCAGGCGTTGTTACTATTTTACATCCCTTGTAATGGCCAACAACGCAGAGACCCGGGAACAGAAGTTCATCTCGACCTGCCAGTGACTAGGCAGAAAAGATCTTCAGTAATAAGCCGACATTCAGGAAACCCCTCCAGGCAGAATGGCCAGGAACTTTCCAACAGCGCATCCCTAAGTGTCCCATGGCAACAGGTGCCATGAGGATCCTTGGTGAGGCCGTGATGAGGCTCTCCCCAGGGTTTGGGTTAGCCTTTTAAAGCCAGCCTTTGTGTGCATCTTCAAACCTTCCCGAGGCAGCGCAGGGAAAGCACGGCTGGTGGAGCCAGAATTTAGATCCTGCCCCTGGGGTGTCGCCTGCCTCTACTGGACTTCAGTTTCCTTACCCATAAATTGGGCTGATTCATTCTACCTGCCTCAGAGGGGCGTTGTACAATTAAATGAGTTAATACAGGTGACGTTTCTTAGCAGGGGCGCTGGCACGTGGTTATTCATCAGTAAATGCTGGACGTCCACCCACGTGCCGCAGCAGAGGAAGCTCTACGAGTGGCAGGAGAGTGGGGGGCGGATGCCCAGCAAGCAGACTTCCGCAATCGGAAGGATGTCCTCCCAGAAAAACTTCAATCTAGCACAGGCACATGGACCAAGCCCTTTGGCTTCATCAAGCCACAGGTGTTCCTGGAGAGGACAGAGTGTGGCTTCGGGGAAGCCATGTCATTGGCCCTAGGTGGGAAGGGGAGGGCGCAGCCCCAGGCTGGCGGGGCTGCGTGGGCGTCATCCGTGTCCAGCTGGAGCCTGAGCAGCCCTCGGAATCCTCCCAGCGATCAGGTCTGGCTGACGGGGCGGGTGCCCGGGGCTGCGGGGACCGTGGAAGCAGCAGGGCTGGGCTCTTGGTACTTACGAGATGTCCGCGGAGTTCAAGCAGTGAGCCGCCGTGAGAATCCACCACTTGTCCAGGATGGCGCCGCCGCAAAAATGCTCGTTTTCTGCCTGAATGCTCACCTGCCACGGGAACTCGCCCACCTCGGCCTCCAGCCCCCCTATGATTCGGGAATGCCGAGTCCTTCCCTCGTAAGTGGGTCTCTCCCCGCATCCTGGCGGAACAAAGAAGAGTGGAAGAGAAAAGACGCCACACTTAGCACCCACCGTGGGCCGGGCGCCGGGCTGGCAGGAGGCTCGTTAGCAGACATGCTTGTCCCCACTCTAGAGGTGAGCGCACTGAGGCCGCCCCACGGAGGCACGACATGAGTGCGATGGCGGACGCTTTATTGCGCTTGTGCAGAGCTCAGGGCGTGGGCCAGAAGCGTTGGCCCTGACTCTGTCCGGCACTGTGATCTCGGGAAAGCCACTTCCCCCAGCCTGTTCTGCTCTCTTGCGAGAGAGATGGGAGGGAAATGCTGCCCAAAGCCAGCCCCGGGGCGACAGGCAGAATCACGGCCCCCCAGCCATGCCCCAGTTCTAAGGGGCCGTGCCCCAGACCTGGAGATAATTTTACCTTGAAAGGAAAGAGGGACTTTGTCGGTGGACTAAGGTTTCTAATCAGCTGGGCTCGAAACAGGGAGATTATCTGTGTATCCTGGGTGGGCCCAGGGGAACCACGGGGGTCCTCAAAGTGGAAGCGGGAGGCAGAGCATCAGCCCGAGGAAGACGTGACTGCACAGGGAAGCAACCCGCTGGCTTTGGAGATGAGGGAGGGCCCAGAGAAGCCACCCCAGGCCCGACTAAGGGAGAGCGGGTGAACCTGCTGTGCGCTGGGCAGGTGTGTGCCGAAGGAGGGCCACCCGGCACTGCAGTCAGCCTGGGGCCGGTCAGGCAGACAGAGCCACCATCTCCCTGCAGGGCGACTTTGGGCAAATCCTCCACCTCTTAGAGGTTCTGAGCTCCTCACCCACACCCGGGCTAAGAGCGGAAACCCCACCGTGGTGCTGTGGCATGAGACATGCGGAAGTACTTGGCCATGACAGCCGCTAAGTAACCCAGCTTCCTTCCAGCCTCGGCCACACCCTTGGCAAGAGATATGAGCCTCCAGGGAGCTGCGGGGAGCTGATTGCAAGAACAGAAGCAACCTTGAACTTGACCGTGCTAAGCTACTCGTCCACTGTGTCTGCGGTTCCCCGAGCTTCCTGCTGCGAGCTCTGCACCCTCTGAGTCAGGGGACTGCCGCTCAGCTCGTGCTGGGGACTCTAGGATTCCTTTGGGGATAAAGTCTCAGGTTGCAAAACCCAAACTCAAGGCCAGGTCAAACTCTGGGCTGGAAAAGAGAGGAGAAGAATGAGAAGGCTTTTGAGGAAGGGACACGGGGACACGTGGAACGATGGCCTGTGTCCTGAGAGCTGGCCTGCTGGTGGCCAGACAGCTAGTCACCAAGCCTGCTGTCCAGCTCTCCCTCTGCCCCTGCACCCACCGCTGGCTGAATGGGGGTGGGTGCAGAGGGCGGTGGTCTGGGAGAGCTGCTCTGGACACTGGGAGAGGGGTCCACATACCGAGGAGTGCTCTCACGGCTTGGGACAAGAGCAGCAGCACTGACAACAGGAGCATGGCCCTGGGCTGCGCCATGCGCCGGGGAGGGGACGGAGGCCAGGGCTGAGGGCAATGAGGCTGGTGCAGCCTCCCCGCTCAGAGCCCGACCCCGGCTGGCGATGTCACAATGGGCTGCGGGTCTGAGAACCCAGACTGAGGTCACGCAGACTTCTTTTCCCGCTGTCATTTTGTTTCTAAGAGGGCTGCGCAAAGGGACTTTGTCCTCGAAGCCTTTCTTATCCCCACTTCCCCTCCCCTGGCCCTGGGTATGGCCCGCCTCCCCCAGACCCTCATGGGCACCTCACTTTTAGTCTGGATCACACCCAAACCTTTTCTGAGGCTCACGTGCTTCCCCTGCCACCGAGCCTGTCGGGTCACGGCTTCTCCGTGACTGTGGTGGCCAGACCTGGGGGAGGGGCCTCCAGCCTGGACCCTCGAGACTGGGGAGGGTCCGGGGGGGCCCGGAGTCCTCTCCCAGCACCAGCGCCCTGGGGGGTGAGCCGCCTGGACTCTCACCTGGGCCCCAGGTATGGCTCTTGCAGGCCGGGTTCAGAGGCCCTGGCCTCCCCTCACACCCTGCCCAGCGGGTGACAACCCCTGCTCCCACCACTTTCTGGATTCATTTCACATGGTCCCCAGATCTCCTGGGGGGCCCGTCCATTCCTCAAGGTGAAGAGGTTGGACTCAGCTGGAAGCACCCGGCCCAAAGTCTCACCTGAGGTCACGACGTTCGGACCTTACATATACATTTTTATTAATAAGTTTCACACCGCTCTGTGCCCTGCCCAGGTGGACCTACCGAAGCAGCCCAGGCACCGACCCCCGGCCACTGGCCAGGCCCAATGGCTGGACATGAACTGAACTCCCTTCAGTTCCCCAAGTGACGGCGTGTGCACCCCGTTTCCTCATCTGCAGCAAAGGGAGACGAGGCTCCGTGGACAGAGGCTACTGCGAGGCTCAGAATGAGGTCGTGTCACCGAGGCGGTGGCCCCTCTTCACGGCACGGAGGGTGAGGCCTGACTCCTCTCTGGAGCAGCAGTGCCAGGACGTCTGCTCTGCTCTTTCTCCCGGGGTCGCTCCGCACCCCCAGGCGTCCCCTGAGAGTTAGGCCGAGGCTGTGGGAGGACGCACCTTGTCTTCCCTGTGACGATCACACAGGGACTCGCCACTGCTGGGCGTCGTCCCTCCGTTTACATTGCGCTGCGCCACTCAGGAGGTGGCCGCCCGCTGCACGAGAGAGTGGGTCCCACAACCAGATGCGCCTCGTGTCAAATCCTGCGGCCACCACTTCCATCGAGGGCCTCGGGCAGGCTGCGTCCTTTTGTCTACACAGGGGACAATAACAGGATCTACGTTTTAGGGTTGGTAGGAGGACGGGCGGCTTCCATGACTTGTTTGCTGCGATGATGGTGATGACGTTCCGCAGCCCTGGTTACAGCCCTAACCTCCAAGCTGGCATTTCCCGTGACGGATCACGGTCGCAGACGTGTGTCATGCACGTGGGAGCTCAGACGCCATCTTCCCGTCTAACCCTCTCTGATGCTGGCGGAGGTGCCCGGGGGCCAGAAGGTCGGATGCTGATTTGCTCTGATGACTTCCTGCGTGCCAAGGTGTCTGCATTTGCAGAACGGTCCCTCCGGCCAGAGCGAGTGAGCCCCTTCCTCATTCCACGGAGAAGGAGGCGGCCTCAGACACGCCAAGGGGCCAGGCCAGCAGCACAGGTCCCCGAGCGTCTGCGGAGGCCATGCCGCTCCCACAGTGAGCTTTAGATAAATGTCTGAGGCTCTCTGAGTCCCACTTTGTTTCTGTTGATCCTCCCAAAAAGCCCAGGAGGGGACAGGAAACTCCTAGACTTTGACTTGTTGGAGATAATGCAACTCCTCTGGGGTGCAGCCGGGAGAGGGAGGGACGCCTCCTCTCCGCAGGGCATTCAACGTGCATTCATTCCTTCGGTCATTCAGTCGTTCAGTCCAACCACGCAGGGAGTGCCTGACATGTGCCAGTCGCCGTCTAAGAACGGGATGCGGGAGTAATTAAAAAGGAAAAAGCCCCTGCCCTCGTCATGGTTACAGCCTGGTGGGGAGCCGGAAAGCAGGGGAGGAGGAGGGGTGGGTGCTGTCCTCTGTGGGGCCATCAGGCAGGTGCCACTGCCAAGGGGGCTCGGGAGGAAGCAGGGAGCCGACCTTGGGGATAACTGTGGGCCTCTCAGGTAACTTGTTTCAGGCAGTGGGTCCGTCCTTCCTTCCTCCCTCCTTCCTTCCTTGAATGACAAGCACCGAGGTCGTGACCGAGAGGAAACAGGGCGGCGGCTGTGAGTGAGCCGCGGCAGGGAGGGCACGTCGGGGCTGTTGAAGGCATCAGTTGGAGGTGACTGAAACACCTTGCAATGCCGCGAGCGGATGCGGAAGGGAAGGAGAGAGCGTGTGATCCAAGGCGCCAGGGTCTGGGCGGGGGCGGCTGAGAGGTTCAGGAGGGATGATCCGATATTGGAGGCATCTCTGCCCCTTGGAGCACTCTTGTCCCATTTTGCACCCCGCCACCCTCTCCTGGTTCTCCTCCCGCTCTCCCAGCCATTGCCAGCCTCCCTTCCCAGCCCTGCCTCCTCCTCCTCCTCCTCCTCCTCCTCCTCCTCCTCCTCCTCCTCCTCCTCCTCCTCCTCCGTCTGACCCCGAGCACTGGCAGGTCCCAGGCTGGGTGCTGCTCTGGGCACTCTCTCTCCCTGGGTGACCTCACCACACCGTGACTCCAGTGGCCTGGTGACTGTCCAGTGTGTCCTCCACTCGCAAACTTCCAGACCTGGGCTCGTGTCTGCCTGCTCAGCCCGCAGCGCCCCTCGACCGTGAGACCCCTCTGTCGGGCCCCTTCAGTGCCTCTTACTCCATCTCTGCAGCCACTTCCTGCAACACATTCTCTTCTAGTTTCATCCTCCCTAAAGTAGCTCCGTGTTATGCCAGGAGTCATCTCTTAGTGCAAATGTTACCATGTGACCCACTTTAATTCTACCCCCTCCCCGCCAGCGAACCTCGTGGGAAGGTCCAGATCTACTAACAAAGCGTATCAGGCTTTTGCAACTTGGTTCCAGAAAATGTATTAATAAAAACTCACCCAGAGACCCAGAGCTCTGTAATCAGAGCAGACGCTTGAGTGGGTGGCGGGAGGGGAGTGTGCAGACAAACTGCAGCCTGGCATGATCCTTCGAGGGTGTCCCGTCAGCCACCACTGCAGGGGGAGCGCTGGACAGACAAGGGCCTGACTGCCCTGTGTCCTATGCCCCTGCCCTGCTCTCTGTGATGTCACCAGGCCTGCTCTGCCATGCATTTGTGATGCCCACCCCACCCCCGCCCACATCAAGCAGCCGCACCTGGCATTTTATCAGCTTTGGCCGGAGGCAAAGATTGGGCAATTCTGGGCTGGAATGACAAGAAGATGCTCCAGCTTCTAATCCCACTGCTCATGGCACTCAAGGGACATGCCCAGGAAGATCCAGGTCTGTGCCAGGCTTGCCCGGAGCAGAGACTGGGGAAAGGGCTGCCACCACTTCCTTGGCGCTGTAGAGTTGACGGAGAGGCCCCAGGGATGCTGAGTTCCAGCAAAGGGCTCAGGAAACCAAGAGATTATCCCCGATGACTCACAGTAGATGTATCGGCCTCAGGGAAGATGCCATCTAAAATGATGCCCCAGGGTCTGGACCAGGGCTCTGGAAGCACAGGGCACTTGGCACAACAATTTAGCAATTGACTTCCTTCTGTCTCTACTCCCCTCTTGGTAAAAACATTAAGGATCCTTGCGGGCCCAACAGCCTGGGGGAGGCAGAGGAGCCGTGGTGGAGTAAGGCCTTACTTAATTTAGAACACCGGAATTAGATGATGTAATCTCATAAAATGGGGAATACTGTGGGGCTATCGTGAGGAGTAAATGAGCTAGTGCAAAGTTTGTTCTGTAGAGCTTCAGTTCTATGAAAAGCTCCGTGGGGAAAAGTTCTAGAGTGAGACAAGACTGGAAACGTCCCGTTCGATACTTTTTCTGTAGGATCACCGTGGATATCCACATATTTACGGCGCTGATATATATTAAAGAAAGTGGTTTAATTTTATTTAAGCTGGCATTTCTGAGGTGCTTCTGACCATAAGACCACCCTTGCCCCTTCCAAGCCTTATTGGTACCATTTTATATTTATTCTTTTAAGAGTTACCTGTTCCTACGGTTTTCCCATTTTTCTTATCCAGGTGAGTTTTTAAAGTGGATTTGCAGAACCTTTTTGAATTTTAATGACATTAGCCCTTTGTCTCTCACACGCACTCGGCAAAATCTTTTCTCCTAATTCTTTAGTTCTCTTGCAACTTTATTTTGGACCAAACAGGAATTTAAAATTTATATTCGGTGTACCATTCTCTGGGTTTTTAACACATGCATGGGATCGTATGACCACCAGCACAGACAAGACACTGAATAACTTCAGCAACTCAAAGAATATCCTCCACCTGCCCCTTCATACGCGCACTCTCTCCTCCTCCCAGCTCCTGGCAGCCGCTGATCTGGTCTCTGTGCCGATATGTAGACGGCCCTCTCCACAATGTCATGCAAACGGAGTCGTGCATGGTGTGTGACCTTTCCAGCCTGGGTTCTCTCACTTAGCATAATGCATTTGAGATTCATCTGTTATTGCATATATCAATAATTTGTTCATTTTTATTGCTGAGTAGGATCTCGTTGTGTGGATATACTGCAGTTTGTTTATCCATCCATCCATCGAAGGACATTTGGGCTTCCAATTTGGAGGATTGTGGACATTGATATACATATATTAGGATGGCTAAAATAAAAAATGCTGATAAAACAAAGTGCTGGCAAGGATGTGAAGTAAGATGAATTCTCATCCTTTGCTGGCGGGAATGTAAAATAGCGCAGCCACGTGGAAAGCAATTTGACAGTTTTGTAATAAGTTGGACCTGCTCTAACCACATGAAGTAGCGGTCTCCGTCTAGGTATTTATCCCAGAGAAATGAAAAATTACCTTCATACAAAAATCCTTCATT